GGGAGAGGGAGCAAAACAGCGAGTCCTCCAGTGGTGGAATCTGTAAGGGAACTGCATGGCCAACTCATAGGCAGTGCCTCTTGGGTGATTCAAACCCCCCAGTGGTTCTATGGGAAAAAAGACGGGAAATCTTTCTCCCAGCAATTTACACTTTTCTCTCATTCCATCCGTATCAACTCATAACTGACCCAACAGTGGGGTTTCCAACTTCCTGAAATAGCAATGAATCTATGAAATCGGTATCTGTGTAAGAAGGTGGTAGTGGCACAGTAGCCTATGTTCCATGATACATTTTCAGCCCAAAGCCTTGTTAGTTCATGTTCATCAATCACTTTATAAGACAGAGATGAGGCAGTCGGCTTCTATTAAGATGTAAGTGTCCTTGGATACTCGAAAGAGAATTGCCATGACTCAACAATAGCAGTTGGAGGCCACCAGCGGCTCTGCGGAAGAAGGTTTGAGTAATCTCCTCCAGTGTGATTAACTGCCTCTGAAAACCCACTAGAGGGTCAGTTACGTGTTGCTTCCAACTTGATGGTACATAACAACATCATCATTATATATATCTATATCTATCTATCTATCTATAGATATGAGAGCCTAGTGGTAAGAAGCTGCATTACCATTCCAAAGGCCAGAGCTCCACAGGAGAAAGATGAGAAGTCTTCTCCCATGAGATTAACAGCCTCTGAAAACCCACTGGACAGTGAGCTATGGGGATGGTATACAACAACAACTCTCTCACTCTCTCGCACTCTCTCTCTTGCTCTCACTCTCTCCTTGCTCTTATATATTGTATAAACTTGCTCTGCTAATTGCTAATATCTATCCCAACAACTCAGTCAAATTCATGTTTTAATAAGTGTGATGGAGACTTCAATGACTCATGCACATGAAACAGTTCTAAGTGAGCCACCAATGATAGAAGTGCGTCTAAAAAACTTCTACCAGGATACGGCGGACACAACACCGAAGTCTTTTTGGTAATAGACCGCCTAATGCACTCTAGCCTCGACCGACCTGCTCAAACCAGTCTCTGGTTAACTACAGACTTTCTCTATGCCTCTACGCGCCGCATCTGCATGTGAATATACACAAACAAATAATTAAACATCAAGCAAATATCAATAGGATTAGCCTGGCATGTAGGAACAAATCTTGATAAATCCGCCTCAGTAACAATACTCGAGCTACCAGGCTCTGGAAGGAATACAAATGCAGCCTCCTGAAGTACTGTTGGGTAAGAAGAGCTATTCTAATAAAACTGCTCTGTCGGTTTCTATTAGTGGGCAATGAAAGCTATTGAGCTGTGGAACTTAGGCCAAAAAGGGGGATTTGGAAATGCAAATTAGAGATAAGACCGTAATAAACGTCTTTGACTCAGCAACTTTGTATCCCTGATGTGAGGAGGTTTTTAACAATGACTTAGTATTTTGTGAACAGAGACTCATACGTACCCAAAATGGACATCTCTGGCACTGTGGCGTGATAGGGTCCGTTAAGAAACTCCGGTGCGTTGTCATTGATGTCCTGGACTTTAATAATAAATTCAGAAGGAGGTTCCAGAGGTTTGTTCGTCTCCCAGTCCACGGCCTGGGCTGTGAGAGTGTACTCCGCCTTCTCCTCTCGGTCCAGTCTTTTTATAGCATGGATATCTCCTGTGGCATCATTTATCTGAAAGATTGTCCCAGCTCCATCACCTGATAGGATATACTTGATTTTTTTGCTGCCAGGGTCCAGGTCTGTGTGTAGCTAAAATGGAAATCGGCATTAGTTAGTGAAGGGACAATCAGCAACTTAATACCATGATTTTTTTTTAACCACCTTCTCTTTGCATACCACATTGGTTTTTACATTAACTATGACATCATCGAAAGTTGCTAATAGTAGCTGTGAAAAGGATCTATGCATAGATATATATATATATAATGTATATATAATGTGCATATATATAATGCATATATATAATTTGCACATATAATATGCATATATATATATTCAGCAACATAGGGTCGCTATGAGTTGCAAACGACTCGACGGCACATAACAACAACAACAATATATTCAGCATTTAAGTTTTGGTCAAATAAAATAAAATGCATCTAAATAAGCTGGTACATTTAAAAAATATCTCTAACCACATTTGTATGAACTGTGTTTAGACTTAAAAATTTCAAGATTAAAACACACATACACACATACACACACACACACACACACACACACACAAAACACCCCAGCATATGTTTATTCCTTCCAATCGATGGATGCACATATTAAATGTTATTCTTACGAACTACATTTTATAAGCCCTTATTTTTATGCCAAGGATCATATGTATCACTTCTCATCATTCCCTTAGTTTTATTCATAAAGATTGAGTTAAGACAGAGTAAAATGACACATGAGAATGGACAAAGCACGTAACAACAACGTTCTCTCTCCAAGATTCACATTCGCTAAGAATAGTGTAACTGCCCCAGAGTTCCACTCAAATCTGCCGGTTATATTTATATAAACCAAACGATGCTCATAATCTGAACATACATGAACTCTTTCTATTTGTGTAGGATTTGGTTTTCTTAGAATCTTGCTATTTGTTGGTCCAGAGAAATTCTTTTCCTTTTACAGAGGAGAAAACTGAGGCCAGGAAATGTCAGCACATTTTGCAGAAATGGGACTAGCCTGAAGACTTGTCAGATTTGCAACAGGAATCTAGGTCCATTGTGGGTCCTGACAACAGATACTCACTGAGCAGTTACTTGGTGGGACCAATGGAGGGTCACCCAGAGAAAGAAGCACCTTGACAACGGTGAGGGTTTGAGTTTGAGTCCCTCAAGTTTTTTTTGGGGGGGAACTGCTAGGAAAAACATCCAATTTCAAAGTCATCATGCTTAACTCTGGTATGAAAAGCGACTATATAAGCATGGTACTTCTTCTCTAGACTTATGTTTAAGATGAGAAAATCAAGCAAGAAATATGCTTGCTAGCTAAAAAAAAAAAGAGCCATTGAAATACAAGTGTAAACTATTGTTTAAATGTTCCTATTTTCAATTTAGCTCAGTTACTTAACTGCCAATACAGTTCTAGCTATTACATCATGCAATTTCAAATACTGTTCCTTTAAGAAAAGGGTGGGGAACTCTAACTTCTAGGAAAGAGGACCTAGAAATTCAAATGATGCTATAGTCTTTGGAGATGCTTTTCATTTAGAATGGACACTTTCTCTTTCTTTGTCAATTTAAATTGTAGTTAGTATTTCAACAAATGGGGGGAAAAGGATTACAAAAAGATGTAAAATAGCTACAAAGAACCCAAATTGCATCTAGATCTCTGCATTACTTTTGAATATTTAGAAAAAGTTAAAGCACAAAATTACATCAAATATTTATTAAATCTGAATATGTATCCCTTTCATTTATTGTATTAAATTTATTAACAAGAACAAATATTGGAACGCCACTTTAACTTAATGAGTATGGGATTATAATTCATTAATGTGATAATAATCCTAATTTATGATCATTTAATTTATGTGCATTTTAACATTTCCATTAGCATTTTTATTATAAAAAGAAAATTTGAGTAATATATCATTCATGGAGGTTTCCATTCCATACCAAGCACTTCTGAGACATAGAAAGCATTGATAGGAGTAATTTTTCTAAAACAATATTATTAATTAAAAAAGCCACTATAATTGGTTTTATTCTTTTTCTGTTAGAATGTATCTGTTTTATGTTTCCTTAAATTCTATAATAGTTTCCATTTAACTCTGATTAGTAAATTATGTTATAATCTTAATTTAGATCTTTATGGTTCTTTGTATTTCTAAAATACTTAAAAGAAAGGTTAAAAAGTATAATTTTGCAACGTTAAAAACCATACCAGGGTCACATCTGCCTGATTATGTAAGTTGGAGAAATTAACACATTTATTAAAGCCACAATTAACACAATTATTTAATCCTCTAATATGTGGAGAAAGCATCCATCTTGCAGAGTTGGTTTTATAATACCTGAAAAACCTTTACAAAGGAAGTGGACATATTAAGAGCACTTAGCTGAACACATTTTATTTCGTATTTAACCATGCCTTGGAGAGGGGCATCATGCTTGGGAGGGTGGACGGACGGCGCAAGAGTGGAAGGCCCTCTATGAGGTAGATTGATTCAGTGACTGGGGTAATCGGGATGGGAGTGTCAGAGGCAGTGCGATTGGCACAGGACAGAGCAGGGTTTAGGGCTGTTGTACATACATAGGGTCGCTATGAGTCGCAAGTGACTTGATGGCACATAACAACAACAACAATCCATTTCAGAATAATCTGATAATGCCGGTTTGAATCTTAGAGAAAACAACTTTCCAATGCACATAACACTATTGTTCTCTGCTGCCCAGGCAGTCCTCCAACTCAGAACTATGTATCGCAGAATAAAAGGAAATGCCATTCTCTCCTATTATCATTCCCACAGTTTTGTACAGGATCTTTGGGATCCATAAGGGTTTTTATGAGCTGATTTTCAGAAACGGTTTGCCAGTCCTTTCTTCTTAATGTCCTTACGTCTGGAAACTGCTGGAAGTTCTTCAGCATCACAGTAACACACTTGTCTCCACTGAAATGGCAGTGGTGCCTGAGCTACACTGGTTAAGGATGGAATTTGAGTCTTCTACATAGAAAGTGCTAATTCTATACCTGGACCACGACTGTCCCCTCCTTTTAAAAATATAGCACTCCAAGAGTGAATACAGTTGCTTGTTGTTGCTGTTAAGTGCCATCGAGTTGCTTGTGATTCATAGAGACACTATGTACAACACCTCTGAGCCCTGCTCTGTCTTGTGCCAACCTTGTGTCTCCAACATACCCAACCCCATTACCCCAGTCACTGAATCAATCCATCTCATTCAGGGTCTTCCCCTCCTGTGCTGTCCCTCCACCCTCCCAAGCATAATGCCCCTCTCCAAAGGACTGGGCCCTCCTTGCAATACGTTCAAAATATGTCAGAAAAGCTTTAGAATTCTTGCTTCGAAGGAGCAGTCCAGTTTCACCCTCTCTAGGACGAACAAAACTATTTGTTCTTTTAGCAGTCCATTGTATATTCATTACTCTTCTCCAGCACCACAGCACAAAGACATCAATTCTCATTTTTTTTTATTCCTAGTCACTGTCCAGCTTTCTGATGCATAACAAGTGATTGCAAAGACCATGGCCTGGATCGGGCACATCTTAGTCTCCAGACTGACACTGTTGCTCTTCAGTACTCTGGAGAGGTCCCTGACAGCAGACTTTGCCATTGTAATTCAGACACCGTTATCAGTTTCACAGAATTTCATTTTAATGGTCCCTAATGGGCCATATACCAATGATAATCTTAAAAGAAACTATTGTGCTTCAAGCATTTAATCCTACTACAGGAGTGACATCCACTTCCTAAACAATATACCTCTGGAAACTCTCTGAACTTTGATAAATGTCAATAGTTATAAAAAAGCTTTAGGCCTTTTGTTCCTAGGGTCGCTATGAGTCACGCTCAACTTGAAGGCAATTAACAACAACAACTTGTATAGTACACACACAACTTCCACATAGCTTGTGTCAGGAAGCAACTGAATAACATAAATAAAAGACTTGTGTTTTATTAAGAATGGAAAATTAAAGACAGCAAATATATTTGTAACTCCAGGTTTGGAAATCAGGAAGATTCTGGGTGTGTGCATGGTTACCAGCTTCTGCTTTCTCTCTCAGTCTGCACATAAATCCACCAGATCCCTTCAATGCCACAACACTGTTCTTGCCAATTTATCCATTCCAGGGACCTCTGTGTGGGATTATGGAGCTAAAGATACTCTCCCAAATGTACTAGATGTTCACACACTGTGCCTCATCTGGCTGTGGAGAAACCATTTCTCCCAAGAGCCACTTCTGCATGCTAATTAAATCAGCAAAAGGGCCACATGCAAATTGGCCTGGGGTCCTGAGACTACTGGGCCTGGCTGTGGTCCCAAAGTCACTGCATTCTTGAATCACTTTTGCAGAACCAACAGAGGCCCTTCAGTGCACGGTCCTAGGTGTGGGAGCCAGAATTGAAAACAACACAGCCATGGCCTCTGTCATAGGAGATAAACATAAGTAAATAACACAAAATAAATGAAAGAATTAGAGGAAGTAGTGTTCTTCTTATATGTATGGCTACCTGTTTTCTCATGAAGGCTTTCTGTAAATCCATTGTAATTCTGATGGTAAGTAAGGACAGTCTGTCTATTTTATCAATAAGAAGATATTGATAAACATTCAGAGATGTTAAGAGAATCTGTCAACATAATGAAGAATGAAGAGTTATCAACCTTCAGATTAATCCAGGTTCCTAAGAAGGTTGCTAGCAGAGTGAAGTAGCAGGTAAAAGAAAGCACAAGAACGGAATAAGGATCTCTTGCATGTTTTTAAACTATTCCAAAAGACTAGACATTAGACTTGAAATACACTTCTTTTTAATCTGGAGTTTGGCCTTCTTGTGCATTTCAAAACATTTCAGAAAGGACATTAACCAAACACAGAATGTCTTATTTCAAGAAATCGGAAAAGCTTCAACTTTGTACTTGAGCAGAACAGAACTAGGCAACACTGGGGCCTTAACACTGTAGATCTAATTCAAGCATTGGAAGTTGGTACAACATGAGACAGGAATGAAAGACGTTATCATGCTGGTCTACCTAACAAGTATGCAATGAAATAATGGCAGTTCTAATAGCAAT